CTCTTCTCATTGTTTTAGCTGTGCACTAGACAATGGCATTAGAGAGCAAAGCAGGCAATAAAGCCTGTGTGGCGGGCAATATGGGCAATAAAGCAAGTGTAGCGGACCCAGAAAGATGCTTAATAGATTTTATCTTCATTTTGAAAGAGAAAAGTAGACAATATGCCATCAAAAAATTTTCTTACACAATGTTCATAAGATGACAGCAAATGGTAAAGTAAATTTAAGATCAGCTAAATCACAACAATTTGGAAACTAGCAACTAACAAATTTTCTATTCTCATTTCAGAGAAAGTGAATTCTAAAACGTGTAATTATTATTGAAACTTACCTAGATGACAGATATAGGCAAGTTCCAGACATCTCATTATATTAAAACCCTGTACTTATACTTTGGTAGTTGGCATACATAAACAATCCTGCAATAATTCTTAAAAGGTGTCTATACAGTTACGTTACTTCTGTGTTGTTTAAATGCCACAGAATTATAACAAACAAATGCAGCTAATACGTTTACACTTGTACCCAGTATTCCATGATTAAATCTAAAGAAATGTGCTTGCAATAAATTTTCATATTTAGCATAGAGGAAACCATGTTAGTAGGTCTGAATTAAATCCTGATTTGTTAAATTCTCCTAAGTGAAAGACAAAACACTACAACTATCAGAGCCACACACAGTAAAATGCAGTAAATCCATACATTACAAAGGATGACACTAAAACCATAAGAAATGGCATATTTTTCTTCTATACTTTCTGTGAAAAAGGCCTTCTACTGTTCTTAACACTTTTTTCCCTCCAAAGCATCCAGGTGGCAATTAATTTCTCATTTATATGCTGCACAAGCTATTACAACACAGAACGTGACATTTTCCTTTCCATGCCACTCCGATATTTCATCCAGTTGGGCTACCACAAATTAAAAGGCACCAAAGAAGCATTTCCAAGAGCCATGTGCTACTGGCATGGCCCTTATCCCTGTGGCTGGCACATCCCTGCCATCAGCTCTCCACAGGCTCCAGGAGCATGAACAGCACACTTAGCTCTGGGAAATATAGGCAGGAAGGAAATGCCATGAGAAAGCCTTCGCCAAATAAATTTGTCTGGTGAATAGCGTTGCCTCACCAGTGCAAGGATGAATGACCAGATTTAAAGATGACATCAGGAGGGAATGGAAAACACTTGAAAAATACCATTTAACATGCTTAACTTTCTGCACTCGCAGCCAAGAGAAACTAATTTTACATGCTCAAAGAAAAGCTTTGATCAGACACTGGATTCACGGGTGTTTCAGAGATGTACTTTACCCCCGCCCCCTTTTTTAAGCCAGTTGAGAGTGGGGAAAATCATCCTCCAAAGCAGCAGGTATGTGTGCCTCTGAATTACCTTGCTGGTGACATACTGAGCAAATGTGCCAAAAGGTTGTTACCTACCAATTAGGAAGCCAGATTATAACACAGAGACATCGTCGCTGTTCTTCTGTTGTCTGTATTTCCTCTGCATGGAAAAGTTATTTGTCAAGTGGCTCGTGAAACAGTAGTACACAACTACACTGCTGAGCAAAGCAAGTCTTCTAATTGATATTATACTTTATCTTACTGTAATTGAGGCTGTTATCTCCTCCCCTGCTATGATAAGCATACTACAAACTAACAGCCAATTCCAACCCTGCATTTTCTTAATCATCATTAATTTCTTAACAGAGTTTGATAGTTTTCTCCAAATTCTTTTTAATTGTTGGCATGCTAAATAATGTCATTGCAGTTTTATATCATGTTCATTCTACTTAAGACAATATATTAACTCATTAAGCAACCCATAGGAAGCCCAAATGAATGTATGTTTCTTTGAAATACCATAGACAAGATTAATTGGAGAGATGACTCTGAGACTCTAGAAAGCAACTTGATTAATCCAACAGAAACTCCTTAAAATAGGCCACATGAAATGATTTATTAAGCACATTTTGCAGGAAGCTGAGAGAAGTTCTTGCTCCACAGATGCTATTACTTAAGATTTCAGTTTGTAATGAATTCAGAGATAGCTGAGTAAGACCTTTGCCTAACTGGGGCTTAAATGAACAAAACCTGAACGACATAAAAATCTACAAATCTACATAAATAAAATTTTACCTCAATCTGAAAAGATTTTTAAGTGATAGAGTGCTGAGTGCTCAATATCACATCTTCTAAGCTGTAATAATCACCTGGCACACCAGCAGAGACAGCATCCCATGCTTCCCCAGCCTTTAAGCAACCCGAATTAGCAGAAAACCTCTTGCTACTTTAAGCTCTGTCATCAGGCCTTTACTTAAAGCCACACATGACTCATGGTCCTTTTCTTTTCCCCTGGACTGGGGGGATGGGAGGGTTGTTTCTTAATGTAAAACAAATGTCAGTAGCTTCATCCTTTAAACAAGAAAATTGTCATTAGTCACCTCGCTAAGCCAACCGAATGTGCACCCTTCACCTAATACCCTCAACAACCACGCACAGGCTACTTTGAAATATAATCTCCCTCTACACTGAAATTGTTTCACTTTGCATAGAGTATTTGGGGCAAGAAAGACATACACAAAGGAGGATATACACCTATGGAGAGAGCAGGAGATTTTACTTCATCTGTTGAGGGACTCATCACTAAAGGAACAGCCAAAGTAAGAGCTGAAGTCGAAAGCCATATGAAAAGCCCTCATATACTCATCTGTCTTCTTTATTGACATTGGTAGATTAAGAAGGTTGGCAAAGGAATCACCTACAAGAAAACAAATCAAACCAAGCAACAAAAAAAAAAACAACACACCCCACCCCCCCCAAAAAAAAAGCCCCACACAAGGCAAAGTAAAAGGAAAACAGAAGCCTAAGTTGCTTTTATCCACTACCCTGGATAAAGAGTCATAACCTTCAAGGGCATAAGGAATTTGAAATTACTTTGGAGGGGAAGCGAAAGAAATTAACAAGTTGAAGCCCAGTGGGAAAAGAGAAGGAGTTATGTTTAGGAAGTCAGGCTAATACTAGTTAACATGGGAGACAAGAAATAGCTTACACGAGACAATTAAATTTTAGCAATCACGCAGCATAGTAAAAGTGGGACGACAGTTATTGGATAATGACCTAAACAGGTGAAAAATGACAAAGCTGCTTTCCCCATGACAATCCCCTAACTACCGGAGAATGAACAGGAAAAGGAAAAAGTCATACTTTCATACACTGGAACTCTCCCTTCTGGATAATCATCTTTGAACATACGAGTTCATTTTGTAGCTATGTTTCTTTCTCATGTTTAATAGTAAAATGACACAATTTTCCTTTAAAAATAAAATTACTCATATACTATGCACATACAATTTCAGAATCTATTTCCAGCTAGCAAAGTGAACTCCTCATTACTTTCAATTTCATATGTACTTGAGATAAACTGGCTTATTAATAGTATGTGTTATGTATACAAAAATTAAAAATATTATTTTAATCTAGAATGGAAAACAAAATGAAAGACACAATGTTATTCTATTTTCCTTTGGAAATATCTACTTGAAATTAAAATGCTTTACCCACTTCAACAATTTAGTTTCCATGAAAATATTTCAATGTTACACTGAGGTCTCAAATCCATTATTAATGTATTCTTTTCTTATCACAATACCACAGATCTGGGCCTCATGGACAATGAAAGCACTACTTAGAACTGTATGTTTGAGCATAAATCATATCACTGGAATTACTGTTTATTAAGCTAACCAGAAAATTGTTCAACCTCTGAATGAGCACAAAATCAATATTCCATAATATTGCAAACAAGGATTTCAAGAGGCTTTCAACCAATAACATCCAAAAGAAATCTAAGAAGTCAAAGTAATTCAGTCAAAACAAACAAGACGCATACAGTTTTGCATCAAACCTACATAGAACTATGCTGATTAACTGGAAACATTATATGGTCCAGAGTTTTCCTCAAAAGGAAGCCAACATCCACAATTATGGTTTTGATGTTTGCTTTAAATCTATGCTAACCTCTTCCTATTGTTTTAAGGAAATATGGTCTGAAGTTCATACTGAACTGAAGCCATATATGAATATCTGAATATAGCAGCATCAAAATATGATATGAGTGGGGAAAAAAAAGAATAAAAACCCCTCATCTGAAACATTTTCAGCCCTTGTCACAGACCTGACTTTTCCCCTTTCTAATCTGTTGGTTCAACACAAATTGAGGAAAACTCCACATTGGGCTGGTTGCCCAGCAGCACCCGAGGTTGCTGTACCATGGCAGTGGCCTGGCCCTGCCTTAGGCCAGCTTCAACTACACATGGACACATCACAGGCTTTTAGCATTACTTTTAGGTATTCTCTCTGGGGATTCCTGCACTCACAGAATGGAAAATCTTTAATTACCTGATTAAGGTGACTTCTGACTGCTTTGCATTGACAAAGCTGGGCTGAAGCCAGGGAAATTGAGCTACCTATGGAACCTGGACCTATTATGTGCATTGAAAACAAATACTCATATCAAAAGAGTCTGAAAAAAAATAGGGAAATATTATTCTGACTTCTCTCCAGAGATTTGTCGCAAGCACTTTTGCAGAGAAGTACAATTAGTTAAGCTGCATCAAAGACTGCTGGTAATTGGCTATTCTCCAGATAAAGTAACAGAGCCTCTCAGAAAGGGTTAACAACATTTCACATATGTTTGTATGTTTTGTTTGTTCATTCATGCAAATGAAAGTCATTAATTGCATTATTCTGTATTGCCATAAAGAAAAACCCATTGCTTGCCTTGCTGTTGGTTGTAACATATTACGGGTTTGCACTAAGAAACCCACAGCTGGATCAGTTTTCCACTATGAAACAAAAGGTTACAGACCACCACTAGAAGTTTCACAAACCACTTTTTTCAAAAAATACAGATACTTACACTGTGACATAACATTTCTTTAATCAGATGGTAGCCATTTGTAAAGACCTTGTGCTTGTTAACACTTCAAATATACAGCACCTAAGGTTTATACATGCTTTTCCTTAAATTCTTCTATGACTTAAATGTAGAAAAGAATGAAAAAGGAGCCACCAAGAGAAACAAAAGTGTAGACTATAAAATCGTAACAGTAGGTTGGATATATATTCCCATCAATTTATACTAAATGGTGAAACTGTCAAAGGGGAAGACTTCAGATCAGAGGTCATGCTTTATTTCTGTTCTTAGTTTTTTCCTCATGCTTTCAATAAATTGCTTAGATTTAGCAAAAAAAAAAAAAGTGGCTGTGTTAATGTAACAGCCATATGTTATATTGTTAAAGAGGTTAGCCTAGCTTTCACAGATTCTTGAGCTCAGCTACAGCTTGTTTGCATCTGGTCTTTGTCTACATTTATTAATAGCATGGCAAGAAATCTAAATTATGCAGCAGTGTCACAGCGATCATGCAGTATACAGTCACTCCAAATGAAAGTATAATATTCAGTTTAAACATTTTAATGGGCTTCTTTAAAATAAAACTGGACAACACACCAAAAACATACATTTGAGAACAATCCTGCCTTGAAAGGGTGATGAATTAGATGATCTAACCAATATTTTCTAGTTGTATTTTCCACAACCCATTTAATTGTCTCTTATCTCATTGTTCCAGTTCAGTATCCAGGCACTACTTGGGGATTATCTTTTAGGCTTCACAGCCCAGAAGTTTGACATGCTGCCTCCCAACGGTTCAAAAAGCCATTTGGGAAATGCATAGTGTCCCCCTCTTTGCCCTTCTCACAACTGCACCTGTGAGTGCAGGCTCTGCAGAAGCACTCCTCTGTCCAAGCCCAGCCCAGCCCACATACAGGTGCTGCTAAGTGAGATTGGAAGATTTCCAACCCCCTTTTCCTTTTCTCTCCCAAGCTTATGAGCAGAGGAGATGACATCTCCTTTCCTACCCCTTAGGACATTTTCTGCAGTAACAGATGAACGAGGGCTGGCAGCACAGTCTGCAATACGTAACATGGCTGCAGGGATGTCTCAGCCCCAGTGGCTTAGTGGCTCTCACACTCTCTCCACACACTCAGACTCCTAACATAGGAAAGGCTCTCCCTCTTCCTCCAAAGATCAGCTGTCCTGTTAAGGGAAATAAGGGTTAAAAACATTCTTGGCAGACCACAACAGACATTCCAAGAGGCCAGCAGGCTACACTTTGAGAACTCATGTCATGCTCAAAGCTCTGTTCCACAGACAGGACTTAATAGCTATGTTCCCACAGCCTGCTGCAAAGCAGCCTCAGGCATGCCACTTGTGACTTCATGCTTCCTAGCCACAATGGTAATTAAAACCCTGGTTGTACCTCTGGCTTCAAGCATCTGAACTGTGCTTAGAAAAAGGCAGACTCAGGCTATCTGTTGCACCGTAATGATTCATCCAGACCTGATGTTCAAGAGACTGGATCCATTTTGGCTTCTTCAAAACATTCAGCCTGAAGGCAGAGCTGCAAACACACAAATTAGGAGGATGGAAGGTGAGTCTGTATTTAGGATTGGGCTTGGACTTGCATTTCATTGGCAGCAAGGACATTCTTCATCACTCCCAGCAATAATAGCTAACAGACACTTGTATCAAAAGTTTCATTGAAGTTTAGCATTACATTAGCTTTGCAGCATCAAGTCATCCACACAGAGTCCTGACACCAAAGTTAAGGAAAACTTGATACAAGCAGCCCATTTCTGAGCTTGTGGTGGCCTGTGTGTAAAGGCTCATCTTTTCTGGGTTTTTTTTTTTCATCATGATTGGTGGTCAGCCAAGATGCCTGGAAAGTACTTTAACCACAAGAGAAAGGGGAGAGGCAAGAGTTTTCAGAATCAGGAATCTAGATGCTACAGCTATGGGAACACCACCAGAGGAATAGGCATCTAACAGTTCCAGGAGGGAATTGAATTGTCTGGTGGATGGAGGACCTAGTGGCCAACAGGTAATCCTTCCACACCTGCTAGCATTATTATTATCAGGAGTATGCATGAAAACTTGTACTACAGCCCTTACCTCTGACATCTTTCCTGTGGCTGGATGAGAACTTTATTAAAAAATGTTGCCCCAGTGATTTGCACAGATAAACATAAGAACTCCTGAGAAGAAAAAAAAAAATATCTCTTAAGCTCTTCTAGGTCACTTGTTACAGTGACCTACAGTACAGCATGGAACAGACATGAAAAAGCAACTCAGTGTCAGATATTATAATACTGTTTTTCTCCATGTGCATTATACATAGCTCTTGTATATAGGTGTCCTGGGTTCAGCTGTCAACCCAGGACAATAGGTAAAAACCAAAATGAAGCAACCTGGATTTCACATTACTTGAATTCAAGATGAGTGAAAAAGCCAGCATTTTCTAAAGTTCTGTGGGGCACAAAGGGGGTGCTTTTTTGGGAGAAGGAAGTAGCACAGTCTTTGTTCCAGCTGTAGGGCAGGAACATGCACAGTGTGGGTTGGAGGAGCAATGGTGCAGGGCCAAATAGCAGAGGAAATGAAGTACCAAAAGCCAGCTGAGCTGGCATTCCACCTAATTTTCTTTTGTGATGTACCTAGAACAGTTTCATAACAATATCCTGTGTTCATCCTGATATATTTACTGTATGTGTCATTTTCAAAGAAGTTTTAGCTTCATGAAAAGCCTGCCAAATGCTCCTCTTGGATTTTCCCCTCTAATTCCCAAAGGTAACTGTTTCTCTATTTTCATTTTTATGTTGCTTCAGATTTGTTGGAACTGCAATAGGTACAGAGGTAATAAATCTACAATGACTGTCAGTTACCAGTCAAGAGAATCAGTCTGTAATTAGGATAACTGTCTGTTAGAACCAAATGGGAATTGTTGAGTTCAGATACCAGGTGCATACAATAACAGGGATGAACAACTGACAAGCGAAACTCGCAGGAAGGTGAACAGTTGATCTGACTTCACTGGAGATTCTCTGTGGTTCTGGAAGAATTTCGTCTTCTCTGTTTATATTATATATGTTCTATTGTTTGATCTTCCAACAACAAAAGTAAACTGCAGCTGCATATTTTTCTTTAAATGCAGAGATCATTAAAATAAGCAACTTTAGGCAAAACTAAAGCAAATCTTAACAAAACATAAAAGAAAGATGGGTTTTGGTGTTTTTTCCCCTAAAAACATATCTTCAAACTTTACTAATGTTTGCAAGTTAAGAAAATGCAATCCTGGAAATGTTTTTATTATAGAGCTTCAAAGTGAAACACATGCTTCGTCATCCTGATAATTCACATAAAAACAAAGATAGTATCTTGATGCGAAGCTAAACGTGGAAAAAGCAGCAATGACTTCTTACTCTTACGTGGCTTGCTCAGAAAAAAGGGTGAGCTAAAGATATGCTAAAGGAGGGGAATCATGACGAAGCCATCTCCACAACTGGAGATCTTTTCCCTACTCCATTGTTTTATAGTAGGAGACAGACGGGTCTCTATTTCAAGTGCCATGATCACCTAAAAGAGGAAAAAGCTTGATATCCCAGAAATCTCAAATAAATCAGGCTTGGGATTCTTTCAGTGTGAAGGTTTCAGTGCACAGGCAATTGACACTACATCTGGAGCCACTATAAGCAGCTAGAAAGCAGTTACAACAGAAGAGGACCCATGTATGCAGCATTTGCCAGTAACATGTTGTTGTGCCTGTCTGGTAAGTGATGAGGTATGGCACCACAGAAATTCTGTAAATGAAGCCCTTAAGCTATTTTTCAGTAATTGTATTCTCTCAAGTCCCCAATAAAAAAAGAGCAAAGATAAATAAATAAAATAAATACATACATAATTAAATCCACCTCCATTAACAGTAAACTCCTTATGCAAATAGCTAATGAAAGCTGCTGCAAGACCATAGGAAAAAAAATAATCAGTGACTACTCACAGATGCAACAAGTATAATGAAGCATATCCTGTCAGCTCCCTTTACGTCTTCTGTACACAGATCAACAAAAAAAAAAACAACTGGGTGCATCTCTGATACATTTGTTTTTTCTATGAATGCTCATGGATTTTGTTTCTTCAATGAAAACCACGTGCTTCGGGTCAAGGAAAATCTCCAGCTGACATCCTGAACGGAGGGAAGCATATGGCATGAACTTACATATCTGAAAAAGGTAGCCATGTATACAGATTTTCTGGAATTTCCTCACTCAGACACTGCAAATTTAACCAGTATCATTTAAATTTGTCATTCTCTATCTCAGCATAGAACACGCTTGCAGCCCCAATTCCTAGAAACCATTAAATCTACAGAATTCAGGAATGCATTTTCAATTGTATAACCCCATTAACATTGTTGGAAAGCAGCCTTTATCTACCACTGACCCACTCTCCAGCAACAACAGAAAAAAAAATAAATCAGGAGTTAGATGAGAGTACTGCATAGGAGCTATTTATTTCCTCCTTTATCCCACACTGTTACAGGTTGACTGATCTTTTGTAGTTTTTTGACTCCCTCTCCTTACTTCCTAAGAGACAACCTTCTCCATTGTGGATCTTTCCAGTGGTGCTTTCCAGAATGACTCCCCACAGTTATTCCCAGACCTGTTTCAATCGCAAACCAATTAACATAGAATAGGGTACTTCTGCACAGCATATTAATAGCAATTGTTAAGGAGTTTTGTCTGTTCTGGTTCCCTCTGATGTTTAACAGCATCCTGTCTTTCCCAAGACTTATATAGGTAAGAAATAGCAACAATCATTTTCTAGCACCCTATACTTAGAGTACTTTTGGCATGCTAGCTCCTTGCCCCAGACCAAATGTAAAACTTTGTTACGCCTATTTTAAGGGCCCCGAGAGATAGCAAATGAGATCTTCCTTGTTCTGAAATCCAAAAAGCAGTGCCTAATACCTCTAAAGAAGGCTTAGCTACTAACAAAGCAGAGACTGACATCATAGACCTCTGCTGTGAGATTGTACCCCTCAGCCCTACCCTCAGACTACCAGCTGCTGAACAGCTTTCCGCCTTATTTTAAAAGAACAGCCCAATCCCATCATTGCTTTGTAATTTAAATAGCTGTTCAACCAGCAAAATAACTGCTGAGGTCTATCTCCCTCTTGCACAAAGCTGATATTTTCCTTTTCACGTTCTGACTACTTGAAATACCCTCTCTGTGGCAACAGGGAAGGGGGCAAGAGGGTCTGGGGTTTTGAACCACTGTCTTCCTTAGTCACAATATGATGCTTTTCCTCTTTTGATACTGCCCCTTGACTTCAGGTGTTCTGTTCTTGTCCAAGTTCGTGCCAAAATCGTGTGTGTGTGTGTATGTATCAGTATACTCATTGAGCACCATTTTCCCCTCTGTCTTTTTGAAACTTGTATCTTAGTGGAAGCTAGCTTTTGGTCAGCATTTTTCAGAGGCAAGAAGCACCACTTATTTCAGTGTCTCAATGTTTTGTTCCTATTGCAATCAATTACACTAAGCATACTTCTGATATCTCCCTTTACAGGTGCAACAAAACTAGGGAACCAAGGGCATAAAGGGTAAGATTTTTAATAAAGAATTAGATGCCAAAATCACCTAAGTTTTCAACACATGCTGCTCCTTCCAACAACCTTCTTTAATAAATTTACACAAACCATGCACAGAGCAGAAGTGGGAATTAAACCATGAGGCCAGTTTTCTCCCACGATACAACATACTCATTCCCTGGTTGCTTGGAGAGAAATATAAATCCATGAAATAGGCAAATCCTCCAGTCACGTTCAAAGACAGTGACTTTCAGAGCAAGCTATGTATTAAACCACATTTTAACACCCGACTGAGGTGTTTTCTTCTCAGAGACCCCAGTGGGAGGGTATCTGAACCATGGATTTCCTACACTTGAAAATCCTAGGCAGCACTCTGCCCTTTTACCTAAAACATACTGGAGCAGCATGGCAAATAGTACACCAGTGTGAGTGAATAGAAGTAAATGAATTTTCAACAGCTATAACATACCATGATACTATTTCAAAAGACTTCTATTGGGACTTAACAACTGTGCCTTAAACATTGGATTTATCTCCAACTCTTACTCCTACTAAATAGATTTATCACTGTGGGCTTGGCAGAGCAAATTAAGCATACCTGAAAATATCTATTCCTGATCACTAAATTGTGTACATACTCGAGAATCATACTTTTAAGTGTTCTATTTGCCCTTGGTTCCATTAGCACTAATTTAACTTTTTTTCACAAAAAAAGTGTCAGCCCTCCCATCTTGTGTTTAACTATTTTTGCCCTGAATTTCTAAGTGCTGACATATACTTTTTATGTCAAGCAAGCCCAAAGGAGCCTACTCATTTAACCACATGAACAAAACTGTGCATGACTTTGCAGAGACATGGCTGCTGTGCTTTTCCTCTAATGTAATAGTTGGTTCTAAGCACTGGGGAAAAAAGATAAAAAAAGGCAGATGGCAAACAGAATCAATTGACAAAGTTCACTTTTCCAAACAGAGCTTCTCCATTTGGCTGCTCTCAGATTTGCTCTGCAAAGCTAGTTAGAAAAGGCAACATAACTACTATTGCCATTTTCATAAAGGAATATGAAACACACACACACACAAAAGAAACAACATAAAATTTTACAGCAAAGTCTGAAGGCATGACTTACAAATCAAAGTCAAAGGAGAGATGGGTGAAAAAGGAGCCCAGAAAAAAGAAATTAAGGGTCACAGTTGAAGCAGGGTCACAGGAAGTTTTGGTATTATTCTCTTCCTTTGCTTAAGACTGGCAAACACCTCAAGCAAACAGCCATCCACATTAATTTTCCCCCATTAGAGTCTACCCAGCCCACATCCAAATATGAAACCTTTTCTAGATTTAGACTGTATTGCAAGTTAATTCAGCTCTCCCTCTCTTCCTGTGGAAAAGTTGATAAAGATAAGTTACTCCTTTTGGAGCAAATGGTTATGAGTAACCTTCTTTTAGCATCAGAAAGAATACCTATGCTCTGAAACATCTATGTTTTTCCTCCACCACTCACATTTTTTACATTTTAAAAATCTGCAGTAATACTTATTCATAACAGTATGGACTATGAGCTCTTGACTCCAGCTACACAGAACCTGGGCAAAGAAAGCAAGATTTTAGGGCACCCATCTGGCAGGATGTTGGAAACTGGGAGTAAAATGAGACAGGGTTAAATTACATAGGTCTGCCCAAGGCAAAGTAACTCACGCTTATGTTCTTCTCCCCATATTACTGCAGGTCTATAAATCCCACTGGCAAAGCAAAAGGAGTTTAACAGAGAGCTCAGGAGACCTTTCTTGGTTTGATTTTGAAGTGTTCGGATAGTTTGTATAAAGTTTGTTCTTGTGTGATTGGTTTATTTTCTCTGCTTAGAAAGCCTTCTTTGAAAACATTATTCTAGTTCTTCTGTAGCAGTTCTCAGGGTTTTGAATCAGAGAAGACAATATAAATGTTTGAAATATTCAAGCCACATAGGTAGCATACTTGCATATCTGTAAATAACCAACTAACCTTCTCTCTTCTATTAAAACACTCCACTGAGGTCAGCAGAGTTATTCTCAACTTGCAGCAGTGTAACTTTGTAGATACATATACTGCATGTCTCCTTTTTCAGGAAAAAGACATTTTACTGCCGTTTCTCCTATAAGAATTCATTAAAAAAACTTCCCATTTCAGTAACCAGCTATGCTGGAAGTCTCTCGAGTCACAAGCACTAAAGAGAAGAAAATGATTACGTTCAGAATGCAAGACATGCACTTGAATTAAAATATTTTGCTGGTGGGAATTTCAGAAGCCTGATGTCAGTTTACCTTACATGTTTATGCTACTATTTGGTATCTGGGATAGTTTATTATTTAGGATAAATGTTTGTAGGACAGAGCTTTTTCCAAAGTAACAAATTACAGTTCTTCTGGCTGTTTATATTGGAAGGTCAAGCCCAAACCCACTGTTTGGAAAAGAGACATACTAACGATGACTGTGTTCCTGAAGTACCTACATTTTTGGCAGTCCATTCATATCTTGGGAGGTAATCCCCAGCAGACATCACATTCAGTAATCCCTATACCTCCTCCACCCAATACATTGAAAATATCCTGTTGAAAAAAAAAAGCCTCAATGAGTCAGTGATGATGCAAATATAAACACAGCAAAAGACAGAAATGAATCACGAGAAGGAACAGACATGCCAGTAACATCAGGCTAGAGCTAGATCTAAAAAATTCCACAACACTGAAGATCTCAACTTGTCCTATGATTTGGGTCAAGTCCAGTTTAGACAATCTCACACAACAAAAACTTAGCACAGACAACCTAGCCTAAAGCTAATGGTTTTGACAGAAAAGTGACTCTGTGAAGATCATAAATCTTCTAATTTGAGTTGATTTATGGACAAAACAACATTAAAAAATTACTTCCAACTTGCACTGCTATTCTTCTTGCCTTTTGCTGCCTGTCTTTTAATTCACAGACTAAGGTGACTAGAACTGTATGTAGTATTGCATGTATTTTGTGGGGTGGGGTGTTGGTGGTGGAGTGGTGGTAAAATTGCCTCATATTTTTACAGGAAATACTGAGCTTCGTAAGATAGAATGCTGTTTACTCTTTCCATAACCTCTTCATACAAATGACTTAAAACTTTCAGAAATAGTGTCTACATCCATGATATGCAATCTGTATTACTGGGTCTAGTTGTCAAGACCACCCAGGTTCTTGTATGTGGTATTTTGCTCTTCCTACACATTTTAAGTCCCTCCAAGCTTAAAAAAGAAAAGAAAAAAGATAAAGGCATGCCCCAAAACTGAGAGCAGGAAGAGCTCTAAAAATGATTTTCAGTCCAGTCTTCTGGATGTTCAACACTGGCCAGTTTATTATCTGTCATTCCAAATACACAAGATCTAGAATACTGTCTATAAAGTAGACTGCCTCATGAAAAACGATAAAAAAATTAGTTTTCCACAGCTACCCAGAAGAAGCCAGAAAGGCTTCCTTTCTGCTCAAAATCAACTTTTGAAGCACAGAGAAAGAGTATAGCAGTGCCTACTATTGAGAACACAGTAATACTTGGCTAATTATTTTGACTTTCTTTAGAGCAGACACTGATGTTTTGACTGATATGGTAGATGAATACTTCCCATTTCTGAGATTTGTGAGAAATTCTGGGAACCTGGACCTGAGACCTCATTTACCTGAGATTTCCTTCACCATTCTGGGAGGAAGATGTCCAGCTCTCACCTCCCCAAGCTCTGTGTTCTGCCATCTTCTTTATGACAGCAACTTTTTAATAAAGCCTTTGCTAGTTATTATCCTTTCACTAAGCTACAATAACTTTCTTACTAGGAACTGAAACAATATTTCCACATGCACATTTTGAATCATACTCTGATCAACCTCTGTTCCATTGGCTCTTCATACTTATTCTATTTATTCTATTAACCTCTTAATATTGCTATGTACTTGCATGGCTAAACAGTATTTTGGAACTGATCCCATTTTCCATGCCCAGATCCAAAACAGCCTAGCTTCTGGTAATTCTTTCCCCTAGAGGTGGCTATAGAATTTACAGAATTTTCTGGGTCTTCTAATACTGTGGGCAATAGTTTTGTACCATTCACTTAATAAATCTACCCAGCACCCAAGACGTAGCTTTTCTAAGCTGATTAATCCCTTTGTTAACCTCTTGTGGAGTCTGAGTCAGCATTTCTAATACATTTACTGAAATGTTTATTCACCAATCCTAAGTAGTGCTCCCCCTCACCAGCACTTGCTGTTGACTTCTGTGTCCCTAAGTTCTTCAACCAGTTGAGTAGACTTTAAGAAGTCTTTCTTTCACTTGTGGTAATTACTCAGCTGTTTCAGTTAACCTTTATGCTGAAATCAAACTGAATCACCTACGAGCAACTTAGACCCAAGTTATCTTCCATGATCTGCTCTTTCATGATGTCCTTTCTACTCAAAATAATCAACTATAACTTTTGACTCAGTGACTATCTGCTGAAGGATTGCTTAAAACTTGGCTTTGAAATTAGTACTGTTATGTTTTGTGGAGATGCAGAAACCTGGGGGACAGCAGTGTTTCTTGATTAAATGCAACTATGAAACACACTTTTTTCTCCTCAAAATTCTTTCACTACCGCCTAGCAGGCATCCAGAGGTCAGGCTGGAAATGCTGATGCTTCAAGGCCAGAATACTGAATACTGTTGATTTCATCCATAGAAAAGCAGAAACTGGAAAGCTATATGAAATGTATGCTTTTCATGTTTAAATGCTGCAGATGTTTCTCAAAATATTTAAACAAGTAGGGAAATAAATTTCTGAAGTGGAAAGCTAATAAACATTCACATATGCATTTTGCTCATCTCTGAATGTGGTGGTAGTTTAGTTATTCCCTTATTTATGCAGTGGGACAAAGATCAGGAAAGATCATCAGTGAAAACTATTTGGCTGTCTGTAAACTTTCTTTACTCCTGGTTGTTTAACATTTATTTTTAAAGTTATAATAAATGGTTCTTTTCTGTTTGGTAGGAAAGTAGGATGACAGATTGTGGGAAGGAAAGCGTGAGCTGTATGGAAAGAGAATAAGAGCAAGAAAAGGAGGGTGACTAATTCAAGAAACCTGTTAACAGCAAGTAGAGGGCAGAAAATGAGAAATGCCCTTTCCTAGCCTACTCCACCATGTGACAGTAATAAAGTCCTATGTAAAACTTAATCCTGAGAAAGTAGTACAACAGCAGTGACTCTCACCACCACAGGAGAGAAAGTGAATTTATAACAAATTATCACAATTTATAACACTTATGTAACATGAATGCGACATCAAAGATTAATCTAGACGGAGGAAAATAAGCCACCTTTCCTGAAGCTAAGTGGAAGAATACTGCATAAATCAAAGCAGGATTCTCAGGATATGCCATATCAAAACAAACTGTAACCTGCCTGGCCCTTTTATCATCACCAACACCTGAGGAGAAGGCATACAACCCTATTGGAAAACAAACCTTATGCATCTCAAAGAAGCACCACACTCATGTAAGAAAAAAAATATGAGGCAATCTTTGGGAAAACTATTTAAACAGTTTTAGTCTCTCTGTGTCTGCTCATCACTGATTTTTTTTCTTCATTTCTTACCAGAGAAGATTCAAACTGACAGGTTATGAAGCAATAACTGCAATATTGTTGCCACAGTTAACATGACAGACACCTGTATTCTTTCCTTTCACAGTTTGGTTTCCTCATAAGCAGCATACAGTTTCTTATCATCCTTTAAAATTTAATAAAGATGTACATTTAAGAGCTTCAAGGTCAGGACAGGAAGCTGTTTCCAAGATACCCAACTATTTCTGCAATGTTACTGAATTCACCTCATGCAAGGATGAGTGTCTGTGCCTCATAATACTTTCTCCCTACCAAGCCTAACATAGTGAAACAAGAATGTGCTAACCTAGCAAACAAATTGCAAGACTTTATTCCTCTGCAACTAAAATTAAATGGACTTTTAAATGCATTTTTTTCCCCACTTGAAGTTCCTGACTTCTTGCCTGCATTTACAGCTTAAATATAACTGGCGTGGTTTTTAGATTAGATACCCAGTACCTACCCATACTAAGCCAAACCCTGTCCTGATTTAAACCCCAGGCAACTCTAAGTTAAAAAATGCACTTGAGTCCCTTTAAAACTGCTCCAAGGTATACCTTGCTATATGGTTAGTGGCCCTTACCCCAAACCCTGAAGGATACTATACCATAACTGTGAAAATGCTTGCCTGGCACGTCCCCAGAATACACGACGCCATTTTCTGGTTTTCTCCCACCAGCCTATTTCCTTCAGAGAATATTTGCTCCCACCCATTGAATGCCACCGTCTGATACCACATTTTGTATTTTACTGTTCTGCAACTTTCATTTGATCTGAAAAGAGATGAGGTGAAACGTTTGCTACTAAAAGATTTCACTTAGACTAAAATCATGTTTCCCCTTGCTGCTAATATTCATGTAGAGTGCACTAAAATTGAGTCCCATAAGTCTTCATTATTCAAGCATTTAATCATATGGAAAATGTGGTAATTTAATTAAAACAAGCAACATAGGTTAGATATCCCAAGGGATACAGACTGAGGAAAAATGATCTAATTCACTGAGTTTCCATTTTGAAAATGTATTAATATTACACCACAAGACCACAGGAAAAAAAAAGCGGGTGGGTGGAGGTGGAGGGGGTTTGTGCACACGAAGCAGGCAAAAACAAAGCTGCCCATTTGCAAAGCAGTAATGTGACACTGAGACAATTTCAATTTAGGAAGCCAGAACTTACTCTGCTCTGTCTCGTGTCTGCCGTGAGTGCTTGTCAGAATATAACACAACCAGCAATTACTTGCTGTACTGCAGCAAGCCTGGAATTTTTATTTTTTTAAACATGAGACAGGGAAGGTATAAAGCACTATTAGTTTAGACATCACTACTAAAGATGGCACTTGTCAGCTGTTCTTGAAAGGGCTTTGCACTTAACAGCAAGAATGTTTAATTCTTCCCAAAACTTATGTCATGTACCTGGCACTTGACTTCAAAATGATTTATCAGCCCAGTATTGGAAGGCAGGAGTGCAGGGGGGACAGATTCATGCACACAGATGGTTGCCATTCTCTCTAAAGTATAGGATACACCCTCTAAGCCAACTTTTTGTTTCTACATGTTATTAAATACTTGCTTTTCCCTGACTTAATAGTCTTTTCCTTTCCCTCCCTCCCACAAATCCCTCAAGCCACAACCCTAATTCCAAAACATTTATTAATAGAATTTGCCCAAAACACCCTTCGGGAAAACTTCCATCAGATATCAGCATCCAAGAAGGCTTCAGAGGTGCACAGGAACAAGGACTGTTAGGTTTATTTCACAGATTTATTTTATATAATAAAAGCAGTTGCTACATGCATTGTTTGCACCTACTTGCAGCACTTTTGTAGGCATTTTCTCTTTGGTAATTCTGTTCTCTTCCCCACTTTTAAAAAATGGCCTTGATCCTACATCTTCTCTCCAAAACTCCCACAGAAATTCATAGAATCATAGAATAGTTAGGGTTGGAAAGGACCTGAAGAT